CAAGGACATGATTCCGGCATGCAGAGGGCAAGAGATGCACAAGCTGGCCATTTTACAGGTACTTCCCGACACTCGCCTACAATTCATTCATATACTAACACACCCAGGCATCCATCGAGTACATGCGATACCTCGAGCAGTGCGTCTCCGACCTCAAGACCGCCAACTCCCGCCGCGACTCCCCATCCTCAGCTACATCCGAGCTCCCACCACCACCAGTCCGACGCATGCACGACGACGACGACGAAGACGAAGAGCAAGACGAAGAAATGGAGGACGCCGTATCACCCACCTACGTCGAGCCACCACCCGCCCAATCCAAATACACCTTCGCCCAAGCCTCACCCGCCATCTACCCCTCCGACCGAAGCGTATACACCCACTCCACCACCACATCCCCAGCCATCATGCCCCACGATCATCGCAACGGGCACTACTCGGCGAACCCCTCCCCCGCGCTGCGCCCGTCCGACCCACACCACTACTCGCTCGGGCCAGCTTCAGTCCGCTCCACAGTAACTTCGCCTTCGATCCACCCTTCGCCTGCGTTCAGCGCTCACACACCATCTGCCACACACTTCAGCAACCCCTTCCACAACGGTCCTCCTAGCACGGGTCCGGTAGCTGCGCCTGGCTCGTCGCATGGCTCTGTCCATTTCGCGTTGACGTCACCGGCGTTGAAACCACAGGCTGATCGTGAGGACCAGGAAGCTACTGAGGCGCTGATGATGTTGAATACCGATCGTCGTAGCTGGAGTGGGGCTAGGGGTATGAGCGTGAAGGACCTGCTCAGTGGATAGGTTGTGTGTATGAGATGTATGATGAGCGCTGTTTCGTTCAAGTGGGTTAGCAAAAAGGGTACTGGGTGGATGTCTGTTTTCTGTTTTGGCGCTGGTGGGATTTTCTGCTGTTCAGCTCTTTGGAGCTATGCTCTTATGCTTTACGTAGACTTTGTTTGTGTTTACATTTTCTGGGCAGGATGAATGGAGGGTAATGGTGCGGACGACTCGTTTCATGTATGACAAAAGTCGAAGTTGCTTATCTTGATGAATATACACACGCAAGACGATTGGTAAGATGATTGTTGCACCAATATAAAGAAACGAGTGTATGATTCTATTCTACTCAACTTCCGCCTCCTCCACTCTGCTCACCTCTCTCTTCCTTTCCATATCCCACCCCCACGACTCTATCCGCTTCCATCCCCAGCATTCTTGACGACTTGTTCCGACCAAGAAGTGATCTAGCAGTGATCACTAACCTGGCTACCAAACGGCTCATTCTTACAGTCTCCACCGCAAAGCGTGATGAACTGGATAGCACCGCCGTTGACGCAGTTGAACAGGGCTTTGGCGCGCGCGTTGGCGTCGGTGGGTTGGCCTGCTGCGTCGAGGACTTGGTAGATGGTTGAGGCGTAGTCGCCTGGTGTTGTGTTAGGTGGGGACGGGAGGATGGGGAGAAGGGGAAGTGGAAGGGATGTGATGGGAAGATAGGTTAGGAGAATGGAAGGGGGACTTGTGGAGATGGAGGAGGAAAGGGAAGACGAACCCTGAGTCAAAAGGTTACCCTCGCAGTACGCATACCCAGCGAAACAGTTGTCCGCGACGACAGTGCTAGCCATGGTGGCAGCGGCGAGGATGGCGATCTTGGAGAAGTACATAGTGATTGAGAGTGAGGTGTTGTTCGTTGAACGTTGAGATAGAAGGTTTGTAGTGTATGTGTGATGATTGAAGAACTTGTTGATGTGTGATGATGGTCCTCTACTCGTAACAAGCTACCTCCTTATATATCCATCTCTCTGCTCTTTAGGCATCCCATCCTCCCCATTGACACTGTACGATGATGCTATTCGTATCCTCTGTGTCTTACTTCTTCGTCCACCGGCGTTAAGGGAGGTGGTTTGCCTGGTGTCTTGGATTCGGGCCGTATGTAGTATGGCAAGGCGGGAGGTTATGGGGCGTCATGGTCGCAGCGAGGATCTTTGCGGTACTGAGTTAGAGATCGTCATAGGAAGGCTGAGAGTCTCGTATACAATTCGAGTCTCTGATGTTAATTGCTTGTTCAGGGTTCAGGTGGGACGGGGCGTAGGTGGATATTGTGGACCGCGATGTGGAGTTAGGCGTAAAACATTGAGGAGAAGAGAGAAGTACGCCTTGATATGTATCCACTTGTTCATGGGCGAAGGTCGTACAGTGATGTTGAACAGGCAGGTGCTTGGAATAGACTGGCGCAACAATTACTCTTTTCGTAGTGTTGGCCCCCGATACCCACATATCGATCGTTCTCGGGTCATCATTCCCTTCAGTTTACTTTCAAACCAGCTATTTGAGGTGACCGCCTAGGCATCACTGCGTGTGGTGCCAACTGAATGTCTTAATCCAGCAGCTCGCGTTTCCCTATGAGGATTCAACCGTACGTGTGACGACGGGTCTATAGACGATGGAGTCCTCGTTAAGCCGGCAGCTTACAGCATCTCTGGTGGTCATACAATTCGGTCGGACGTTTCTGGTCTCGTTCTTTGAAGCGCGTTGCTCCCATCCAACAGCTTTCGACAACTTCCTAAGTGTGATATGTTTGCAAGAACACGTTATCAATGGCCTGAACGAGCTCATCTCAACAGACCTCGTACCTTGCGTCTTCCGCCATGATCACTAAGCTGATATCGGCGATTTCCCCGGACTTGTGCCTTACGCCCGGGTAGTTCGATCGTAAGCATACGAGACCGACCAAGTTGATTGGCGCTTTGTAGTCATCTCCGGAATGAAGTAAGACCAATAGAGTCTCTTATTATTACTTCCCCGCTTCAAGAGACATGTACGTAACACTAGACCCGCCGATATAAACAATGGTAGGTCGTGAAGCATCGGACGTCGTCTCATTGAGCCGCTCGGACGCAGTAAGCATAAACGAAGCCGCTGTCGATCTCCCAGGCCGCCGACGCGCTGCCGTAAACCGGGTTCAGGCTAAAGAGCATTGAGGGTTAATCATTGATGTGTCATCCAATACTAATGTTGGTCGTCAGCCTGTCTTGAAAGTTGCTCCGATCTTACGGCCAAGCGCTTGGAGCTGGAGACGACGTGCTTGGTTCCCCACAGATACTTTAGGGCTGCCTTGCGCTAAAACGGGGCGTACTGGAACTTCGTGTCTTTATGGCTATGGCAAGACGTAGGTGGCATGAAATTCGAGCTGGAGGACCCGCGTTCGCGCATAGAGTGCGCGATATCTGTCTAGAAGTGCCTTCTTTCGTGTGTTCGGGATGCACCTTCCTAAGGGGTTCGCCAACACCGGCAGGAGGAAGGGACCGTGCCGTGCCGTAGGATCCGCATTAACGCTTGAAGAGAAGGAGATGTAAGATCTATGTGTCAACGACAAGCTGTGCCTGGCGATGGAGCGTGAGAGTTATGACGTGCGGTTGATGTGATCGAAGGTGGTCGCTGCCGCGGGTCAGACTCGGCGAGTACGATGGCTCTAGCGCGCCTGCCTTGCCTATTGCCAGCCCTGGAGGAAACTGACATCCGTCTCTTCATAATTTCTGGTCGCATCTGTCGCAACATCTATCGAAATCCATAAGTACAGAGTGCTACTGTCTTCAGTATGAGCGACCATGAGTCTGGTTGCGGCGCTTCTCTGCCTGGCTCTGCCGGCAATCGCAGGATCCGAGAGGAGAGCCGAGTCTGTGACGGACACCATATACCTTCGCGACCTCCCAATTTCGATTCAACATTCTCTTTCGCAGCATCGCACATTAATCCCCAAACCTATGGTCGACATGTCTGGATAACTCTGCGTTCATCACATCATCACTATTGCTGAAGAGTCTGGCTGTCGTCAGCATCATTAACCGTGGCATCATCAAACGGCGGTTTCGATATGACAGCCGCAGTAGCACCGTCCCCGAATAACTTAAAGGTAACGACATCTCACCCTTCCGCAGAGTGCCGCTTCATTATCTTCTCTCTTCACGCTCATGTCCAAAAAACCTCGCGATGTGACGGTCGTTGCGCAGCCGGCACTGTAGCTGCGAGTACATGAGGCAACTACGAATGTGTCCCAGTGCAGCCCCATAGAAAATGGCGATCGTTGACGATCAAACGTCAGGTAGGAGATAGGAGTGGTGGGTGTTTTCATTGACTCTTCCATTCAATTCTCTCGCTTCTCTAGTCCACATTTCATTCAGCTTCGCGATCATCTCAAGACCGACGGCGACGTCTGCAGCGAGGATACGAAGAGACGGCACTATGGAGATTATGAGGACTTATCCGACACTGATGGTATGCCTTATTTCGATGCCTAGCTCCGGTCGGACATACGATCGGTCTTTGCCTGGGTACCCAACGCATGAGCATCCACACCATCTGTTACGCCCTTTCGAGAGTCATACCACCTGGAAGGGCCCAAGGAGTCTGCAGATTGCTTGGCCCCCACCAAGCTTCCACAAGCCAGCCGGCTGGCAGGGGTCGGATTCCGCCCCGACGAAGTCCCGGTGCCTATTCAAAGCCGACGCACCGCAACCATCGTACGCACCGAAGGACTAAGGCCATCAAAGTCAGCTTTCTCGCATCATGCTCTGATCTCGTCAGAAGCATGCGACTCAACCAGTAACGCGCGCGGGTGGCCCCGTGGGAGTCAGAGCGAACGGCGCGTTTTTCCCCGCGTCGCTGTCTCGCGCTTTCGCTAACGCCGTTCACCGAGATCATGCCCCCCAAACCTGGCTTAGTCTTGCACGAGAACCTCGGGGTTAACGGACAGAAATATGTTCAGGGTGCGGGCAGCGATGGGGACTCATTTCGTAATCCAGCTGCCTGCTGTCTTTCTATTATATACCTGCGGCTGACTCCTGACGTTGTGGTTTTGCGCGCAACAATCGCAACCGTCTGGAACCAGTTCTCAAGACCTTCACAGTCGCAAACACCGCATTTGAGGATCACCATCGCAAGGAAAGCTTTGCCCACGGAAATCTCACCCTGATATCGTAGCGACAGCTACAGCGACCGCACAACATGTCTTCATCAACACAAGAACCATACCGCCAACATTCGAGGAGTAGCTCAGATACACATGTCCCAGACTTAGAAAAGGGCGAAGCGAGACCGAACAAAGAGGAGGAAGAAGCTGTCGAAGAAAAGGTAAGCATTATCAACTTTTCACGACGCGATCTCCATCAAAACACTTCTGCTACGGTCTGAAGACCTTGACGTCAGTGTGCGACTTGTTGCGCATGACACGGGAAGGCAATCAGGCTAAGTTATCCTGGCATCGGGTGGTCGGCTGCTGCACCATCATCACCAACCGTCAGTTTTGAAACACTCCGAAGAGGAGCTAACAGTTTGAAGCAACCCCAGGAAACAAGCGATGATATCGGCGCAAATCTCGAGAAGCATCTATCAAGAAAGAGCACAAAGAAGGACCAGCTCGCACCAGAAAAATATCCCCTATCCGATCTCGACAACAACCTCGTCGGCTGGGACAGTCAAGATGATCCTGCGAACCCACGTAACTACACAACGAAAAGGAAGATCACACTCCTTGGATTAGTCGCCGCCATCACCTTCGTCAGTCCACTCGCCTCGTCCATCTTCGCGCCCGGCATACCCTTCGTCAATGCAGACTTCGGGAACACATCCCAGCTTCTTGGATCCTTCTCCGTCAGTGTCTACGTCCTAGGTTTCGCATTCGGCCCGCTCTTCCTCAGTCCGCTCTCCGAGATCTACGGAAGATACATCGTACTCAACTGCTCCAACCTCTTCTTCTGCTGCTTCACCCTCGGATGCGCGCTCGCACCTAATCTCGGTGGCCTCATCGGCATGCGATTCCTCGCTGGTGTCGGAGGCAGCGCATGTTTGACAATTGGCACCGGTGTCATCGCCGACATGTTCGTGCCTGCGCAGCGAGGAAAAGCTGTTTCGCTCTACAGTACAGGCATCTTATTCGGCCCTATCCTCGGTCCTATCTGCGGCGGTTTCATTGCACAACGCGCAGGCTGGCGATGGGATATGTGGGTCGTACTCATCGTTGGTGGCCTCTTGACAGTGGCTCTCTTCGTCTTCAACAGCGAGACGTACCATGCCGTGCTGCTCAACCGCAAGACTGAGCGTCTACGCAAGGAGTTGAACCGCCCTGAGCTTCAGAACATCATGACATACGAGAAGGATGCGGCTCTCCTAAGTCCTCTTCACATCCTCGGAAACGGCATCACGCGTCCGCTCAAGATGCTCACCCGATCGCCCATCGTGCTGCTCTGCTCGCTCTACATGTCCTTCCTCTTCGGCCTGCTCTTCCTTCTCTTCACGACAATCACACCCGTCTTCATCCAAACCTACGGCTGGTCTCCCGAAATCACTGGTCTCGCATACCTGGGTATCGGAATCGGAAACTTCATGGGCATCGCTTTCGTAGCCAAGACGAGCGACGCAACTATCATCCGACTAGCAAAGAAGAACAAGGGTGTCTACGAACCAGAGATGCGCCTGCCACTCTGCGTGTTCTTCGGTTCGCTAATCCCGATCTCGTTCTTCTGGTAAGCCCTCTCTTCACCCCACCCACAGATACACACCACTAACAACCCCAGGTACGGATGGACAGCTTACAACAAAGTCCACTGGATCGTCCCCATCATCTCCCTCGTCCCCTTCGGTTTCGGCCTCATGGGCATCTTCGCGCCCCTTCAGACCTACATGATCGATTGCTTCCCCCAATTCGCTGCTTCCGCCATCGCTGGTATGACAGCTCTGCGTTGTCTGTTTGGTGCCCTGCTTCCACTCGCGGGACCGACTATGTACGAGACTTTAGGTTTGGGATGGGGGAACAGCTTGTTGGGTTTCCTGGCTGTGGCGTTTATTCCTGTGCCGGCGCTGTTGTTTAGGTATGGCAAGGTTATTAGGGAGAAGTACCCTGTTAAGGTTTAGATGGGGAAGAGGGAAGTTTGTGTTTAGATTTCATGATACCCGGTAATGTATTTGTAGTGTTTTAATAGCGTCGGGGTGTATTTTGAAAGTAATGACGTAAATAGACATGATAAGGCGTCCTATCTCCTATGCGCTTTCCGTCTCTTGTTGTACCAAGGCGCTAGCACGCGCTAGTCAACTGTCACTTCCAAGGCTGCAAGGCTGACATTCTGGACCTTCCACCTCCACAAACTTTTACTTACCACTTCACCAATACGTCAGCACGCTTAATTGTGGTGCTCCACCTTCGTATCTCGCTTCCAACGCCGGCGCTGTCAGCTCTATCAGGCAGTGTCTCCTTGCTCACCCTAATCACAACTCGTCGCTGCCTTCGGGCGATTGCGCTCAGTATTTTCTTTTGTTGGATCCAAGAAGATAGCGGCCATCTTCAAGAACCCAAATCTAACACTAGCCAACAAGATCATCCTTTTCTTCTTTAGAAGAGTCATGGCAACGACGTCTCTCCACTCGAGATTTGTGGGCTCCCCGTACCATGGTCAAGCGCTTGCTAACAACGAGATACGCCTTCTTACTATAAACTCTGTCACCGTAAACTATAAATCAACAAAACCAACATCAACATCACCTGAATGGTGGGATTCAGCTGTGGCCAAAATGAAAGAGCGCGGACGAAAGATCATTCGAAGACCATCTGACATCTCCATCGAACTGGAGACTCATCGACATGAGCTTACGGAATATCTCGACTTTGATGCGGTGTCGTACGTCTGGGGGGCTGCGCCAGCCTCAGTTATGGTCACATGTAACAACAAACCTCTCCTCATCACGCCTGCTGCGTACAAAATGCTACAGTACCTATATCTATATCAACACCGGACGAAAACAGAGCAGCGGAAGATATGGATCGACGCAATCTGTATCAATCAAGAAGATAAGGAAGAGAAAGTTAGCCAGATACCGTTGATGCGCGGGGTATATTTCTTCTCGACATCTGTCATTATATGGATGGGTCCTCCGACCGACGAAACCGATATCTTCTTCGCAGAATTCCAGGATGTGAGGAAGAAGTCACAGGAGTGGGTTGCGCAGTTTATTTTACGCCCTGCACATTCCGACCTACTTAAAACAGGACTTCCCTGTGACGAAATCGGGTTTTCCGCTGGACTATCTCAACTCCTCAGGAATGAGTGGTTCAAGCGTCTGTGGACTTATCAGGAGAGTATTCTGCCACCTAAAGCGACACTACTTTGCGGTACATCTTGGGCAGACTTTGATGAGTTTCTAAACCTCATCGATGATGGCATTAGCCGCACCGTTTATCTCACGAGAATGAAGGCTATGGCGGAAGACGCCGAAGTCGATATCGCAACTAGAGCTTGCTATTCTATCAACTTTTACCGCAATCCAAATACTCAAAAACAACGTGCCAATACGTTAAAACCGAGTAATATTGCGCGCGATCTGAACCAGCTACGTTATCGACGCGTGAAAGAGCCAGTAGATCGTGTTTGGGCGGTTACAGGGCTTTTGCATAGAGACCTTAGCGATTCCATGACCTGTGAGGTTGACTACAGTGAACAAGGCCGCATGGAGTACTGGAAGACTTGGATAATGTTTGCCAAAGCTCTGATAGACAAACCCGGTGGAATATGCCTCTTGAATATTCCGCCTACGCTGGATCCCAGACCCTCAAACTTGCCATCCTGGTGCCCAAATCTTTCCGGCAAATCATCTTGCGATGGGAGTATTGAAAGCTCATGGAATGGAGAGATACGGAAAGATATCCATGTTGACCATTGGGCTATATTTGAAGAAAACAGCGAAGCAAAATGCGCAGCCAGGACTGAGGCGATCAAATGTCATGATAAACAGTCCATCAGTACCTCAAACCATGACAGTTTGCTTCGGATACGAGGGTTTGTGCTGGACATTATTGAAGAGATTGCGGAACACGGGGAAGCCCTTGACATCGCATGCAGTGATTACGATGAGGATTCTAAAGAGCACATGGCTTTGTATCATCTTGCTGTTGGTCACCATCTGGATGCGCTAGATCTGGCTCGCCATGTCTATTATGGCAAGAGCAAAGGCGTTACCGATGTACCCGACGACTTCATCATAGCGCTCTTCTTGGATGATCGAATTACCGAGGAAGCGAAAGACGTGTATCGCGAGGTGTTGGCTGAATTGTCGAGTTGGCACTCCGCACCTCACTCTGCACCACAAGCCGGTGATACCCATGAGCAGGCGCAGTGTCGTGGACTGGTGGAAGGAATACGGGGACATACTTTCTTCAGCACAAAGGGCGGTCGTATCGGATACGCTCATCCAGGCTGCAAACCAGGAGATCAAGTCGCTACCTTCTACGGAGGAGAACCACTATACATCATCCGGCAGCTAAACCCAACGAAGGAAGACATCGACTCGACTGAAGAAGCATCCGACCACGTTCAGTATATGGGCGCTGCATTTATTCCTCATCTCATGGAACAACATCAGAGAGACGCCGCTCGGTTGGGGCCCAATGCTATGTTCATCATTCACTGAGAGCTTTGGACATCTTCGCATGGGCTTCATCGTGTAAGGAGGCCATGCAGGAGAGCAGGGCACAATGATGATACACCGGGGAAAGAATCAGGTATGGTGACACAACCATCACGGGCCAGCTGTTGTCCAGATCAAGCGTCAGGACACTCATTACCTGCGAATGGGAAATTTGTCAAAGGAGGACCGTATTTCATATGTAGATGGAGGGTATAGTGACGAAGAAATTTCACACCTTAGAGGGGATATACGACCACCGTTATCGACTTACCAACCCACCAACGTACACACACAAAGTCCCTCGCGAAAAGACTTCAAGTTCGAGCGCGAAGCCCACGAGGGGGGATTTATCATCGTACAACATCAGACTCAGAACATCTCGATTAAACAATCGCCTAAGGTGCAACACTAGCGCTCAGTCCTGAATCTCGTGCCCACAGCAGTCGGAGTAACGTTTGCGGCTTACAAGCCAGAAGCGAAGCTGCTCACGTGTCAGATCAAGTAACTTTCAACATGCCAAAACCACTCTGAGATTTCTGCAGAACATAACCATGGTATATCCATTCAACACAACCCCACCTACAACTTCCTACTCCTAACAAGCCCAGACTTAATACCCGTAAGCTCACCCCCATAGTTCGCACTGCCCTTGGCCGCAGCCCCCTTATCAAACACCTGCTTCATACTCTTGAGCTTCTTCTGCTTCTCCTTGTACTTCTCCTTCTTCTTGACACGCGGGTTCCGTACGCTCTTTTTGCGGTGGGGCGTCAATCTAGTCATACGGTCAGTACACGTATCAAGGAAGGCAAAGTAAAGATAGTGGGGAAAGGGAGGAGAGGGAGAGGGAAGACATACCCCTTATTCTTCTGAATCTGGTAAGAAATCATACGACGCCCATCATCGCCAACGACTTCCTCTTCAATAACCTGAGCGCCTTGCTTCTTAGCAAGGGCGTAAGCTTCCGCGCGTTCAAGCTTAGTTTGCTTCTTGTCCTCTGAGCGCGCGGCAATCATATCGTAATAACCATCCTCATCTTCAAAGTCGTCGCGCTTGGTCGCTGGCGCTTCATCAGCAGACGAAGCGCCATCGTCTTCGCCCAGAGCAACACCAGGACCAGCGTCCTTGTGTTGCCCTCGCTTCTCGGCTTCGGCTTGTAGACGCGCTTGTCTGTCCTTGAGGCGCTCGCGGTGCGGGATGTCGGCGTCGCCGCCCATGTCTTTGCCCGCGGCGTCGCGCTTGTTGGCCTTTTGGGCGATTTGCGAGGTGTAGAAACGGAGAGATTTCTTCTTCTTGGCCTTCTCGGCGGCTTCGTGGGCGGTGAGTTCGGTCTCTTCGCCGAAGTCCGAGTCGTCTGCGTTGAGGAGGTTGAGCTTGGGTTCTGCGGTCTTCTTCTTGCGCGATGCCTTCTTGAGGGCGGCCTTGTCGGCGAGAGTGTCGAGTGATGCGAGATCCTGTTCGGTCTTTGCGAGCTTCGCGGCGCGTCGAGCTGCTGCTTCTGCTTGTGCCAGTTCAGCTGCTCGTTCTGCCCTGGTCTTCTTCTGCTTTGTGGGTTTCTTGACAGTCAGGTCGTTTTCGAGTTCCTCGGCGCTCACGTCCTCCATAGCTGAGTCGTCGTCGTCACCGGTCTCCACCATGGGATCTGCGATAGGCAGGTTTTCTATCCGTGTCCATACCTTCTGGCACTTCAGCAAGGTCTCCATAACTGGGTGTTCATGTAGCTCAGTAGGATCCATTGCGATGACCGGCGACCCATCGTCCGTTGCAGTGGAGCCGAGTACAGCAAAGTACATGGCCATCGCTGCGAGGTATGCGGCGCAAGCCCGGTATTTTGTGACAGCCTTAGGTGTTGGTGAAATTCGGTCTGCCTTCCCCGACTTCGCCATTTGCGCCTTCAGCACCTTCTCGGCGGCTTTCGCGGCGGCGGCCAATTCCTCGTGCAGCGGTTGCAGTCTCAGGTATTCTTTCGAAATGTGCTCGAACTCGGGGTATCGCGTGCGCATGATCTTCATCCTCTCTTCCTCGGTCATGTTGTCCGTGATTTGAAGTTGCGGGAGCACTTCTGTTACGACCGCGCCACCTTCTGCATCTTTCTCTCCCTCCTGCGCCATCCACTCGTCCTCGTCGAAGCCAAAGTCCGCCTCTGTCATGCTTTGTAGCTGCTTCTTTTGTATGCGCCTCGCTTCCGCTTCCTCATCCAACGCATCTTGCTCCGTTTCTATCGCATCGGCGTTGTAGTAATCCTTCTTCGAGGTACCCCATCCACCAACGTCTTCGTCTTCCTCGTCGACTGGTTTGCGCTGTCCCGTGACATCATCTCCAGACTCGTCGCCGGTATCTTGGTCGTCGAAATCGTCTTCATCGTCGTCATCGCTGCCGGCATCGAGGATTTCTTCGTCTGAGGCTTCTAAGAATTTGTCTAGGTCCAGATCAGCTATGGCATACCATACATATAACAT